CGCCTCCGCAACTGTTCCGCCCGCCGCCGCCTCCACGAAGACGTCCGAAGACAGCGGCAAGCCTTCTCCGGCACTGTCCTCGTACGACCAAGCCGTCGCTGTTTTAACACAGCATTTCGCATCCGCGAGCAATGTCGTCGTCAAACGCCACAGGTTCCGTCGTCGCGTCCAGCAACCAGGCGAGTCTGTCCTCGAGTACGTTGCCGCACTACGAGAGCTCGCGACGCGTTGCTCATTTGCCGCCCTCGAGGACTCTCTCCGCGACCAGCTTTTAGAAGGCATCGTTTCCCAGCACCTTCGAGAGCGCCTTCTTCTCGAAGGTTCGGCACTCTCTTTTTCGCGTGCCGTGCTGTTAGCACAGCAGCTCGAACAAGCGGCTCAGGAAGTGCGAGAGTTCACTCCTAGCCAAGTTCAGCGAGTAACTTTAAACGACAATCAGCGCCGACCTATGCCAACGCGGTCTCGCTCGTCTTCCCGTTGGCAGCCATTTCCGCCAGCGAGCAACCGCCCAGCGCCACGCCGTGACTCAGCTGTTTCACGCGCCTCCCGGACCGCCGGCCTAGGTCAACTGTCTCATGACCACCGTCACTCTGTCAGCCCTAAGCGCTCGCGCGGATCACCTAATTCTCCGTCGTTCTGCTTCCGCTGCGGTTCCCGCCAGCATCGTGCTTCGTCATCGCGCTGCCCGGCGCAAGATCAGCGCTGCTTTCACTGCGGTAGGCGTGGCCATTTTCGCTCCGCCTGCAACAAGCTACAACACTCGTCCGCGCTCGCCGTGGCTGAAGTTGACTGCCGCCACTCATCCGATGATGACGAAGTTTTGAGCGTCCTTTCAGTCACTGGTCGTGCTCGCACCGGCATTTTTATCGACGTTTCTGTTGATGATAAGCCGTTAACGTTCCTTATCGACTCTGGTTCGTCGGTCTCGATTTTGGCGGACAGCCATTTCAAAAGGCACTTCACAACAGAATCGCTGCTTTCTGCTCCACGAGTGAAACTGTTTGACTACTCCAAGCAGCCTATCCCAGTACGCGGTTGCTTTTCCGCTCAAGTTATGTTCAAGGGACGTGCTGCGCGCCTCCTGTTCTACGTTGTGTTGCAAGGCACATCTCTCCTCGGTATCGACGCTATCAATTAAGGCTTTAGACCTTCACATAGAAGGCTCTACCCTTCGTTGCTTCGAGACAACATCGGTGCCAGCTGCAGGCGAAACCGACCAGACCTCCGCAACGCAGACTGTTCCTGTACCTCCTCGGCTTCCGAGGACTCTTGCCAGCGAGTTCGGATCCCTCTTCGCTCCAGGACTTGGACTTGCCAAGGGTTATATTCACAAGGTCAAAGTCAGAACCACGGTACCACCTGTCGCATCGAAGCTCCGGCGTCTTCCGCTGTCCCTCCGCCCTCAAGTGTCTGCAGAGCTCTGTCGCCTGGAAAGCTTGGGTGTGATAAAGCGCGTCAACGCCTCCGAGTGGGTGTCTCCCATTGTTATCGTGAAAAAGGATGGCCACATTCGACTCTGCGTTGACCTTCGCCAGCCCAACAAAGCCGTCGTCACGGACAGTTTCCCTCTTCCGCATGCAGAAGAGTTGCTGAACAGTTTAGCCGGCGCCACCCACTTCTCGAAGTTGGATCTCGAGTCGGCCTACCACCAGGTGCTACTTCATCCAGACAGCCGTGACCTAACTGCTTTCGTCACGCACGATGGACTTTTTCGTTTCAAGCGTATATGCTTTGGCCTGGCATCGGCTCCAGCCGCTTTCCAATAGATGATGTCAAAGATCCTTCAGGGATGCCCCGGCGTTCTTTTCTACATCGACGACATCATAGTGTTCGGCAAAAGTGAGCAAGAGCACCTGGCCAACTTGACCACTGTTCTTCACCGCATCAAGGATGCGGGTCTCAAGCTCAACGCCAAGTGTGTGTTCGCCGTCAAAGAACTCTCCTTTTTAGGACATAAGGTGACTGCAGAAGGCATCTCGCCATTGCCAGAGAAGGTGGATTCCATTCTGAACACACTTGCCCCAACCGACGCTGCGCAGTTACGCTCGTTCCTGGCTTGGTCGAGTACTATGCCCAGTTCGTCCCCTGTCTTGCTGACGTGTTAGAGCCAATGCGAGTTCTGCTTCGCAAGAACCAGCCCTTCATCTGGAGCGACACCGTCGACGCCAGTTTTCACAAGATCAAGTTCGTGTTGGCCTCCAGCAACGTGCTTCAGATGTTCGACGCCAGTCTTCCCGTGGTCGTGTCCACGGATGCTTCAGACATCGGACTTGGCGCTGTTCTTCAGCAGCTGGATGGTCACAGGCTGTGCACAATCGCTTTTGCGTCCCGCACGCTTTCGCCAGCAGAAAGGAAATACGCAGTCGGGGAACGTGAAGCACTCGCATGCGTCTGGGCTTGCGAGCATTGGCACACCTACCTCTGGGGTCGTCCTTTTACACTGCGTACAGACCATCAAGCCCTGGTTTCCCTTCTGTCGACTCAAGGCTCTGGAAAACGCCCCCTTCGCATCGCAAGGTGGTCTCAGCGACTTCTTCGCTACAACTACACTGTAGAGTATCGCAAGGGCTCAGAAAACCAAGTGGCGGACGCCCTCTCCCGCCTTCCAGTCTCTGCTCTTCAGGAAGATGTCTCGTTCGACGAAGAAGTCGTGGCTCTTGTTGCACCGCTCTGTTTGACCAAGGAGCAATTCGAGCAGTCGCTGTGCGAAGACGTTACCTTGGAGCAAGTCAAAGGTTACGTTACGTCATCCTGGCCTCCCCAGAAGTCTCTCTCGGGTGAACTCAAGCCGTTCTTCACTGTTCGCGAAGAACTGTCCGTTGTCGACAATTTGCTTCTGCGTGGGGAACGACTCGTTGTTCCTCGGGCCCTCACTCTGCAGGTCATCGCCACGGCACACGAGGCCCACCCTGGGATAGTTCGGACCAAAGCGCGTCTCAGGGAACGTTTTTGGTGGCCAGGTATGGACAAGCAAGTAGAAGCAGCCATCCACAACTGCAGCATCTGCCAGTCTGCAGACAAGACGGCCAAGACTGCAGCTACTCCGTTGCAACCGGTTCCTCTGCCAGAGCGTCCATGGCAGAAAATCGCCACCGACATCGTCGGCCCTATGGAAAGGGCCCCACAAGACTGCAAGTACGCCATCACTTTAGTCGACTATTTCTCCAAGTGACCTGAAGTGCAGTTCTGCAGAGAAGTTTTCATGAGCACGGTTACCAGTTTCCTGCATTCTGTCTTCGCCCGCGAGGGTTACCTGGACGAAGTTGTTTGCTACAACGGGCCCCAGTTTTCGTCACAAGAGTTCATCCAGTTCTTAAAGGACCGCGCCATTCGCCTTGCCCATTCTTCAGTCTACTACCCTCAAGCGAATGGGCTCGTAGAACGGTTCAACCGCGTCTTCAAGAATTTTGTTCAAGTTGCGATGCTGGAGCATCGACCGCTTCGGCCAGCGGTGCTCGACTATTTAGGCGTCTACCGCTGCACGCCGCACGCTACGACGGGAGTTGCCCCGGCTCTGGCGCTTCATGGAAGGTTGCCCAGAACCCGCCTGGACGTTGTAGGGCACCCGTCACCATCCTTCTTCAAGGATCCGGCAGGGGAACTCCGCCGTCTGCGCCAGCGCGTGAAGCGCAAGCAAGACAGTAGCCGAAGCTATACAGACCATCGCCGTGCTGCCCGCAAGACCAAGGTCTCAGTCGGCGACTTCGTTCGGGTAAAGAAGCCTTCCGTTGCCTGGAAAGGGGATCTCTCCTTCAGCCGTCCCCGGAAAGTGGTGGGGCAGCGAGGACCATCATCCTTCCGCCTAGATGACGGAAGAACGTGGAACGCTTCGAAGCTGGCCAAGGTTCCTGGGGGTTCAAGCACTCTACCGCCAGGTGGAACCTGGGACCCGTCAGCGAGGAGCTATGGCTCCTCAGCTGCTCATTGGGCGCCTGAACTCCTTCCAGCTTCGACTGCTTCAGAGACCCCTCCCCCTGAGCACCCAGCTTCCGTGCACCCGGTGCCTGACGCCGAGCCTCCTTCTGGGGAGGATCCAGATGCCATCCGCCCAGACCCCGATTCCGAGCCTGCACTATTGGTGGTACCGACTGTCCCGGCAGCCGAGCAGCAGGAGGTTCCTGCTCGACGTGTTCAGCCACCAAGAGAGAGGCGGGCTCCAGACCGCTACGGCGATCACGTTTAAGAACTTTCGAAAATTAATTTTCCTACATACCGAACTGTTGACTTGAAATTTGTTCCTAAATGTGTAAAATATTGATTGTTTTCCATTTCAGTTGTTTTCATGTGGTACATAGCCAACTTACAGCACTAACATACTAACCATTTACTAACCTACTTACTATTTTTTTTAAGGAGGGGAATATGTTGTGTCGTAGTTTCGGTTTCTGTATTACGTCTGTCAACCTTGTATTGTGTGTGTCGCTAGTGTTGTAGTCTATATAAACATGTGTTCGTATAATAAAATTATTATTCAACTTCTCGTCACTTCAGCCTCGGTCGCAACACTACACATATGTCGGCAACATATGCCGGCGGACCGCGAATGCAGCCGCCACTGGTGATCCCTTCGGAGGCGATGCCGGTGGATTAAATGCAAACAGTGAATCGTCTGAAATTTCGCGCTGAAAATCTTATAACATTTGCTGCTCATTGATTGACTCAGACAAGATTGATGAATCATACGCCAATATTTCCAACGGACGACCGCCACGGTTTTTTGACCGCTTCTGATGCTGGGCGAAACCGGCTCAAGCTGGCCATGTGCTCATGGCTATACGATATCCGACGTCACCGCAATATGGTATACCAGTAGAGTTGCAGGTTCGTTTCGGTTTTATCGTATTTCCAAGATTAAAAATGACTTTAGACATTTTTTTGAAAATTTACTCGCGGCTTTAGGCCCAGTTTCTTGAGCTCTCCCAGAAAATGTTCAGTTGAAAACGTTCAAACGCACGCGCTAGTGTTTTTCAGATGAATGAACCAGGCTCACGTCTACTTACTTCCTTGAGGGCACAGCTGCCCGGAGACGAGTGTTTGACATTGGAGGGACGCGTCTTCCAGACAAACTCCAGGATAGCGATGACGCTGGACACGCCAAGGCCGCCGAGGAGCACCAAGAAGATGCCCCCGACATTGGAGACGCTCAGGGCGTTCACCTCTTCGCCCGAGTCCACCTTGCTGGACTCCTGACTTGAGCAGTGCCCCGTCCACCAGCGCTTCTTGAGCTTCTGCAGGACGCCGCTGTCTTGAAGCTGCAGGATGGCTGAGGAGAGGTGCGGTGTGTACGGCGATCCTGCAGGAAATGGCGAATCGGTGGGCTTTAGTCTTCGGCAACTGCGTTTACCTGTTGGTGCCATATAGTGCGACCAAGTGTATTCCGTCGGCGCTTATCGTCCCCCATTCAAAGCTAAACCACGGACTTGAAAGCAAAATTTCAGCAGTAGATTTTTTTCGGAAATCCTTAACTTCTCAGAAACTTTACTGGCGTTGCCATCGATGATTACCCTTTTAGTCCTCAATAATGTTGAAACAACATGCGGTTTTATTAATTTTCTGGTTTGATTTAATTTGGTTTATTGAGGCACAAGGTGCTGGGTACCAAGCCAAAAGGCAGATGTCTTCAATCTGACATGGCATTAGCTGTTTGTTACCCGTTTACATTGTTCAGCAGGCAACAGCAAAAAAGAAACAGCTAAAATATCCGCAAGAAATAGAAGAAAAGCAAGCACACAACAACAGTCCGTGACAAAAATAAATCATGACATTTCGTACCATGATTGCAAACAAAATGAACATAATGAAAATATTGAGGGTAAATACAATAAGTGAAGCATGGGGTATATTTTGTTCTCTTCAAGAAGACAAAATACATTGTATGGGACATGACAGAACATACCGGTTTACGCTGTTTTCAATGTTATGCCTTGAACCAGAGTCTTTCAACATTTTTAAAGTTGCTTGACCTTTGTTTAAGCAATCGGATATTGAGTGCACCAGTTGTTGAGTTCCCTGATTTGTCCTTTACCAAAGTGCATATAGAGGATTTTGGTTGAAGGCTGTACAAAGGAATACGCCAAAAATTGTGCATATTTGAGGTTTTATGTAATTGTACACATGATATCCAAGTTTCAGTTGTAATTGTTGACTATATTGATATTTTCAAGGATCATCCAATCATTCGTACACTCGCCCCTGTCTCTCTATCTACACGGCATAGAGATGGGTGTCAAGGGCCTTTATGTGGAGAGTCGCGTAGTTTAAGCATGGGCAATCCGAGACTCCTGAAGTTTAAGCTCCAGCTAACTAAGTCGGTATTTTGAAAACAGATCCGAGTTTCACAAAGAGAAACTATCCGGTTCAGGCTAACTAATAGGTGTAAATCCTCAGTTCAAAATTTTATTTTCAATGAACCCTTTTCTACAAGTATTCTAGGCATCCTCGCGCTGTCGTTTCTCTAGCGAATAATTAAATGCTTTATTTTGATAAAAAAAGGAAGTAGGCATTTTTTTACCGTTCACCATGGACCACGAGGTGCAGCAGTGTAATCCTCGGCTAATTCGTGACACTGCCCTATACAACTTTGATGACTTTACTCTCGGGGCCTCATCTTTTAAAGAAATGTTGCATAATAAAACACAAAAAATCAGAATGGGGAATTGTACGGTTCCCTAGGTAAGAGCAGAAAAAGCTGGTTGGACAAACCATAAAAACATTGCAACTTGGCGAGACCCTGCTTTCTATGGCAGACAGTAGCGAAACAAAATTAAACTATATGGATAAAAAAACAAATTCTATACCTTATTCAGAGCTCAATATAAAACAAAATGAATCGAGGTACTACGTAGTCTACGTGCCGACATGCATAAAAACAAAGCAATAAATATTCAGGCTACTAAACAAAGCGCAAGAAGCATGCTCATACAACTGTTTCCAATAGCATATCACGCAGCCCTCACTTTGACTCCCAGTAATATTTACAAGGTGTTTCTTTTTAGGGTTATTAGATTTGTTTAAAAAAAAGCCGTGAAAGCTACACTAATGCGGTTTTTGCAGGTGAGTTATATAGCCAGCGTGACATAGTGGGCTAATTGTAATTATCAGTCTAATTAACACAAATTATTTTAATTAACGTTTTAATCGCTGAATATAAGCATATAGTTCTGATTAGAACTTTGCTGATTGTCATCAAAAACCTATAAATCAGTCTATAATAGAGAGACTTGTAACAAGTGAGAAGCACTGTGTAGCGCTAAAGTTACCATTCGTGCTGCAGGAGCGAGGTATACTGGTGCGATAAGGCGCCCGCGTAGGTTTTTCATCCCTTTCCATCCGCGTTTTCTCACCCCAGCCTTGTGCCTGTTGCACGAGTGTAACTTTAGCGCACTAATGCGCTTTCCGCGCGCACAAAGTCTTTCTAAAAAATAATGATTTAGTGGCTCTCGATGACGCTCAGCGAGTTTCTAATTGGAACCCCGTCTTTTTCACAGATTAAAAAGCTAATTAATAAAAGCTAAGTTAGTTATTCGAGTTATCGTTACGATTAGCCCCGTATATTATGCCTCCCCCCCTGCCACCCCCTCTTGGCAGTATAACTTACCTGCACAAACAACATTAACGTAGCTTTCAATTAAAAAAAACAAAAAAACAACAACAACAACAACAACAACAAACAAATCTGCTCAGTTTTAAAAGAAGCACTTTGTATGTTTATCCTTTCACAGAAATCGGACTTGGAAATGGTAATCAAATCAGTGGGCCTACCTCTGGGCAGGGCAAAGCCGTACCCCTTGGAATCCAGCGGCCCCCCGATCTGGGCTAACCGACAATCGCGGTCCACCAGGTACTCGATGGTGGACGACTCCATGAAGAAGGCGTAGTTGCCGCGCAGCACGCGCTCCACACCTTCGGCGTTCGACGCTGTCAGCACTTCGCCCGGAGAGCTCGACATCACCGTCCACATCTTCTCGAAAGGCTCAAGTTTCGATTCCTGCAAGGCATACGGGAAAGCGAGTCACACGGCTCTGCACATGTAACCGCTAACGTGACAGTACGGCTAAAAAGTTTCAAATAATGATGAGCCATTCCACCCTGTGAAAGTGATTGACCAGCGAAGCTGTTTAGCACACGACACAGACGTGACACAGAATTTTCAATAAAGGTACGGACACATTCATTGTCTTGGTCGATGATCGTCGTGACGAACGGTACGCACACACATGTCCTGATCTACCGCCGCCCCGAGGAGCCGAAGGAAACTAGACACGTCTGACGTGACCGCCACCCGGCGGAAGGGAAGGAAACTAGGCACGCAAGCGCTTGGAACGACGACAAAGAGAGGACGAAGCGTTTCTCTCCTCCTGCCGCTGAATTTGTTCATGGGTGACGTGACACGAAGTCGTGACGTCATATTCCCGCTAAATTCAGCGGGGAAACTGAATTGGTGTTGAGGTCACGTGACGTCAATTTCCCGGATAAATATAGCGGGAAAATTTCCCCGCAAAATTTAGGGGAAAAATTTCCCGATAAATTTAGGCGGAAAATTTTCCAGCTCAATAGACCAATGTCACCAAGCGAACTGCGCAGGCGCGCGCATTCCGGAAGTGGTGCCGCCGCCATGCTACTTGTAGTCATCCCTTCCCGGCTTCCCGGCTACATACGGCTGCGCGTACGTACATCATCATAGATTATCATTTGGCACGCCCCGGTATCACCTTGATTCTCTCGCATATTTTTACTTCATAAGATTGTGTTGTTTGTGATGCCTTACTTTCCTCACCAAGTGCAGAAAAGCAGTTTCAGTCGTCTTATCGCTTTAGAATCGCTTTGTCGTCTGCTTCGTCATCGTCTGCTTCTTCGTCTTCGTGAACGCGTGAGCCCACTGCCGTTCACGGGGTAATCCCCACTGCGTCCCCCCTCCCCCCCCCCCAAAAAAAAAGAAAAAAAAAACAAAAAAACCAACGCCACTACTCGAGCATTCCGACTCGTCGGACGTCTCAATTACCTTGCAAACAAGTGAACATCTAGTGCAATAGCAAAGAACAAAAAAATTCGAGGGACCATCGGCTCGGTGTAGCACCACGGAACGGCATCAAATGTGATGAAAAACTGAGCTTGGTGGTGCTCAGTCTTGTGCATAACGTTTAAACAGCCATCAAGTAAGAGGAGCTAAATAGACTTTCTCGGTCAGCGATAGTTTTCTAAAAGTTGTTTCATTCTTTTTGACAGCCTGTGCGACAGGGTGCAGATGAACTGCGGGAGAAGCCTGCACACAAAGAACTGATCTACAGAAAGGCCACGCCTGACGCGCCGTAATAATTGGCATCTATCAAAAGAAAACAACCATGCCAGGTACCTGAAAGCTTGGGGTGGAGATGATTTTTCGTGTACAGTTTCTATTCAGTTTTATTTTGTTTGCGCAAGATCCGAACGCTAACAGTCGCCCCACGGCGGAAGCTTTTTTTCTGCGGTCTCGACTGGTGCTAGTGCAGAATGGATCAGTAACACCGGCCTAATAGACCACCACACAATGGATGAGGTTCATTTGTTACATTTTTGGCGGTAATTACGTGTTGCACTTCTAAATTGCATTATGTAATGTTTTCGCGTTGGTATGGAAAAAAAACATGAAGGCTGCTTCCGAAAAAAAGTCGTTTTATATCAAGTGGTGCATATCGGTAATCGCTGCTCTTTTTTAGTGATTGTCCTGATCTTTTGAAGCACAGTTGTGCTTGAAACATGTCGTCGCAATAACAGTTATAACCATCAAAATACTCCGAGCAAGAAGTGTATTAAAAACGGCCTCCGCAAAGCAGTGCGGAGGTCCTATTTGAGATAGCCCAACGAATCGGCCGCTACGGAGCAAATGGTCAGAGAGATTCCAGCTTACGGAACACTTCGGCACGCTCTATGTCTCGTGCCCTGTAATCTTACATATTTTAGCTGACGTTCAATAATTGAATATAAATTATGAAGCAAATCGCGAAACAAATCGTAAAACGCTATTTTTCCTGCCGCTCTGTCCGGCTCTGTCGACCTTTCTTTGCCATGCTTCTTTCTTGCGGGAAGACTAATATCCGAGGCCTTTTTGCCTGGTGCTGTAATTATAGCTCTGTGGCATACAGCCATGCGAAGCCACCGATTAAAAACAATGAGTCCACACCTGGCTTAAAGTCTCGAGCTAACCCGAAAATTTCCAAAAATTTGCTTGCTTGACCTTTGCTAACCCGAAAATTTCCTGGGGAGAACTACAGGTACCAGAATGCACCGCGGCAGCGGTGGCGTCGCGCAACTCCTCGTGAGATCGGTCTATTTAGCTGGAAAATTGACGTCATGTGACACGAAGTGGTGACGTAACATGACGTCACGAAGCCGTGACGTCATTTCTTCTGCAGCACACAAAAAATCCAGGAGACCCTAGCCATAAACAGTTTCGCTGTAAAAAGTGAGTCTTGGCGCATCGGGACGCAAGCAGGGACACGCCAATAGAACGGACACATAGAGGACGCATAGTGAACGCGAGACGACGAAGTAGTCAGGCGTGCACCGTCACTGGTTAAAGTCAGAGGAAAACAAGAGTAAGTGGGCGCATTTGAAGGGTAAAGAAAGGCAGGAGGTATGCAAGGTGCAGACACACTTGCTCGCCGTATAGTCAGTGACGAATGAAAACGGCAGGGATGACTTTCAGTTGCCAACTGCTCCAGCGCGAGCTTCCTACCTTGTATAACACTCGAGGGTCCCGCTAGCTTAGAGCGTCCACTCGCAGCTAAACCACGGCGGAGTGCAAGAGACGCCTGCTGGAGCGCGGCCGTCCAAAAGAGACGCCCTGCCGTTCTCACCCTACCAGGGACTATATGGTGTGCGTATTGGAAGGGTACAATAAGGAATCGTAACATTCGTGCCCGCCAACGATCCGGGCAAAACTTCTCAAGAATAGAAGATAGTCCGTCCCGTCTAGCGATGTACCGCAACGGACGCTGCGAGCCATGACAGCCAGCCTACAACGTTCCGCGCCTGCCACGTGGTTTCACCCTAAGTGCGTGGCTCCGCCCAACTGGAAGCTCACGTAATACGCTTCGAGATCTGTATTGGCTGGAGCGGCTCGTAACGGCCGTTGCGATCCATGGTAGAGTGAAACGGAGCATACAAAGAGGCAAGATATAAATAAGCAGGTGCACCGTCTGTCATTCTCCGGGTCTGCTAAACGTTATGCTATAATCGCCAAGAAAACTTTTCAAATAACCAAAAAGAAAAAAAAAGGAATAGCAAAGCCCTAAAAAAATACACCTTAAAAAAAAAAAAAATTCTGAAGGGCAGGAAGTGACAATTGCCATTTTGTCCTGTTCTTGATATTATTTTTACGTAACAGATATTTAAAACCTTTGAACGCTTTGCTTTCGTTCAGCGCTTTAGTAATTTCAATAAAGCTTATTTGCAAAGCATTGACCACCCTTCTAATGTCGCGTCGTGTTTGCAAGGGTGGCGTACGGAAAAGAATACTGGCCAATGTTATATATATCCAGTTTCTTATATTTTAGAAGTCATTGGGCGAAACTAGATAAGTTATTCGGTAACTAACGGATAATGATCTGAGAGCTTTAAATTTAGACAATAAATATATGGGATATGGATAACAAACACTAGCGAGCTTGAGAAATCCATATAAACGCCAAAGAAAAGTACTCGGGCATTAACTAAACCCTTGGAGCAAAACCGTATTAGTCCCATGTTAGGCCCCTAGGGTTGCCAAGCTCGTGCAAAGTTAAGGCCCGTTCACACTCTTGCGACTGCTTGCGACCTCTTAAACCTGGGTTCCTTAAAATTTCTTAAACCAGAGAACACACTGGCGCCATCTATTGGGAAGCAGTGTAAACTCGGCGGTCCGGCATATTTTTTTTTATTTCTCGCGCAATATCCTTTCTTTTTTGGCTCGAAAAACTTTTGTCAATGTTATAAACGAGCCTTTCTATGGGTATTACGCACATTTGACCTCGGAAATCCCGCAAAACCTTCGCTTTTGTGAAATGCAGTTCTAGGGTCACCGCATAGATGGCGCCACAATGTCAGTGTGTTCCCTCATTCTAGAAACATTTAAGAAGTTGTAAGATATCTCGTCTCTCTCAGTCGTACTCGGTCGCAAGAGTGTGAACGGGCCTTTAGTCGTTTCTCTGGCGTGCTGCATGGGAAGGAGAAAAGTAGGGAGCTACCGCCTCATCCCTCCTTCTCGGTTTCACATTTCGGCCGCCAGGCCGCGCGAGTTTTCGCTGCACACTTGGATAGGCGGTAGCTCCCCGCTCCTCTCCTTCACGCCTTTTTCGCTGGGTGGCGTTACCTCCTTTGGTGTTACGAGATCCACCGGTCTTTACCTGAACCCCCCCCCCCCCCCCCTCCTTTCCCCCCATACACACACGCACTAACCGCGTCACGCAACACAGCCAACGAATAGCTGAAAAGCGTTGTGGTACGCCTCCGCACGACGGTTCAGGCCGCTGGTGACCGATGGGGGCTCAGTTCCCGTAAGTTATGATGCCTCCTGCAGTTCGCCGTTAACTTTCAGTATCTAGTAACGTCGACTACGGATGTCCAAATGGGTGAGCGTGGGAGTATATTGACAGCTAAGGCACACAATAACGTCCACTACCTTGTCAATACGGTAGAGAAAATAAAACTGATTTTATCACAGACAATACCACATTACAGTTACGGATATAGGTGTTTCTCTCAATGAGGTACTTTATTGGTTACCCTTACAAAAACGGGTCTCAACATTCTTTTTACTTTTTTTAGACTTCTTATTGACTTTCCGCGATCCTACTGAATTCCTTTATAAACGCACTTTGTTTTGACTATTGTCAAAAAACTTTCAAAAGAAAAAATATTGAATTTTTTTGTAGACCTATTTATAAAAAAATTAAAAAGAAATTGTAAAGACGTTTTTCTATAGGATATTTTCTAAAAAAATTCAAAAGGAAAAACAATAGATTTTGTTTT